CACCTAAAAACATTGGATTTCTCCATCACCCCAAGAGGTGGATTTTTTCCCCCCCACACCACCATCCACACAACAGCTGTTACCCCATTTTAATTATGGCTCCTGGCCAGCCGCTTGCACAGGGGGAGGAGCGAGGGAGGAGGTCGGGGTGGCAGACGCACCCGCTTCATGGGCCGCATGCCCCGGGAGCCACCTGAGAAGAAACAAGCTACTCAACTCGTGACTAGTAATTCAGACCAAACTGGAGACCAACAGACACCAATATTTTAGATTAATCATCTCACCAAATCACCAGGCAGTGCTACCACTAATGAGGGAAAGTGATCTGGTGTCGGGCACAACAACACATACTAATAACCGTGACGGCACAAGCGTAGATGGCACAACTGATATTAGTTGGTATCATTATATTTCTCTTTAAAGGCTGCTCTTAATGGCCAGTTATCCATCATGCTCAAGGGTCCAGCTGTCAAACAGCCTCTGTTACCCCATGACTCATGGCTAGGGAAGCTTGCTCCAACCAAACCAAGCAGCTTGTTCTCTAAAGGAGGTGCAGATGAGCCATCAGCATTGCAAACAAGCAATGTTTGCCCACTCAAACCACTCATGAGCTCAGTTACTCCGAAATGAAAAACAACTCAGGAATAAAAAAAAAAAAATCGTGAAGGTCCTAATTTTAACATAATACAAGCCTGGGGCATTTCTACAGCTGCAAGCAGCAATAAACACCTATAAAAGCGCTCCACACCTGCACAGGCCAGCAAAAGACCGTGGCCCTTGCTTTTCTGTAAGGCAAAATTTGCCAAGACCAGCACAAACCTCAGTTGGTTCAAAAAGGGCTGGATTTCCCTCCTGCAGAATCTCTTTCTTTAAAGTAGTTCCTTATTGTGCCATTATAGACCAAGTGAAAAGGAAAAAAGAAGTCCCCTACCCACTTCCCATATATGCATCCTGTTAAGAATTTCTTCCAACGAAAGAAATTTCTTCCATTGCCTGCCTTCCAAAAGGTAGAGAAAAGCTCCAAGGGGGCTGGTTACATTCAGGATTAGCAGCTTTACAAGGCAGCTGGCACAGGAGCCCAAACACCTACCAGAAGACAGAAAAGCACTGACAGTACCTGAGCATTTGAGGAAGCATCCAAACATCATTCCTGGGCTGAAAAGGTCTGACCCTAGGAGGGGGCTGCCCTGTCCTTCAGGGAGCCTTAAAGCCAGCCAAAGGAACCAATTCCAACTTTTCTGATCCTTGTTCTCATATTTTGCAGTTTACAGCAGGAGGCAGAAAGGTTCCCTGCTAACAGCTAATTCCTTGGGGGCATTTTAAGCACCCAACAAGCCACAGCAACCATCCAGGAGAGCACAGCAGGGCTAAAAAGCCACAAAGCCCCCACCACTCCCACCATTTGTATTAGTTAGCCTGCTGCTTTCACCTCTCAAAGGCAGCTTTCAGAGAGCTTATAAATTTACCTCTTCCAAACTTTACCAAAGCCAACACAGCCCTGCCCTAAGGCCAGGCTCACTGTCTCCCCTAGCTCACTGCCCTCAAACTCACCCTGGAAAGGGCTTAAAACACAGAGCCGCTCGCCGCTGGAGCAGGCACCACCCTCCCAATCACCCAGTGCAAAGGGGCTTCGGCTGCAGCAAATCAGCCCCTTGGCCACGCAGGTGCCCAGGATTTCAGGAACGCTTCAGGCAGCAAGTGCCTCGTGGCCACATAAGTATTTTCTTGTGGCTGATCTTCCTTTCTTCCCATCTTTGCCCCTGGAGCTGTCACCCCAGCGCTCACCTAACCTAAGCCCTTCCTAAAGGCAGACAGTGGTTCTTGGACTGGCCCCTTTTCTGCTTTTATTGCCTCTTGGGGCCCTGGGTGCTCTCTGGAGAACGGCCAGGGTGCAGGACGGGCCTCGGCGGCTTCCCTGCCCCGTGGCCCGTGACAGTGGTGTCCCAAAGAGCCCTGCAGGACAGCAGTGCCCAGTTCTGCTCCTCTGTTCTGCTTTTAGATTCCTAGGAAACCTACTCCTTCAGCAAAACAGTGCAAGAAATTTCTGCCCACAGGGGTCACAGCTTTGTGCTTGGTGCGCTGCTGTGACAGAAACAGCAGGAGTCACAGACTGTGTCCTTGCAATATTTGAAGGAACTCTGTTTCTCACCAGGAACTTATTTCATGGGCTGAAGATGAAATGTAACTTTTGCTATTTGAGAACTTACGTAAAGGATTGAGTTACCTTATCAGCCTCAACTGCATTTAGAGGAACAAAGCCATGCGCAACGTTGTGACGGGAAGATGCCCGTATGTGCATCAGAAGTCAAAACAGTGGTTTTAGTGCTCCATCCCTTTCATATCTCACCTACAAAACCAAGCAAAACAGTTTCTTAGCACACACACACAAAAAAGAGGGTTGTTTTTCGGACTCGGATTTTGTTGCGGTCCGAGCGCCTCTTGTATGAAAGGGTCAGATGGCAGCCAAAGCAGGGCAGATCCTCTGGGTTTCCAAAGACTTGCAAGCCTAAATAAGGGCAGGTTTTCCTCCCAGATGATTTGCTCTGCACAAACACAGGGCAAGGCACACGCACCTCGAGGCTGCGATTGCTTTGAACGGCTCCGAGGCAGATGGGCTGAGCATCTGCTCAGGGATTTAGCACTGACGGAGAGGGGGAAGGAACTTCCGCTGCCAGCTGGAAGCAGCAGGGCTCTTTCCTCTAGTTTTTTTCCCGCGTAAGCCCCATGTTTACAAAATCAGAAGGAGGGTCTTAGTGCAATGTTTATTGTTTTGCCTCTGAAGTGGAAGGAGCAGCAGCGCTTGGTTATGGCTCCGCTTGCCGCTCTCCCGGCCCTGGCAGAGCAGTGCTAACCTGCTCTTCAAGCAGCAGCTGAACTTTGGCTCAAACATACTCCAAAATTCACTGCCTGAGGCTGCTAGGAGCAACCAGATTTTTGCTGGGAACGTCAGTGGCGGCAGGGGGAAACGTCACCTCATTCAGCAGAACTGCTGCTTTAAATCTTTCCTTCGTTTCGTTGGTTGGCCCTTCACATCTTGTACCTTCCTGCTTGGGGGAAAGAGAGAGAAAGCTTGTTGTGTTACCTCGTGCCCTCTAGGGTGGCACTGGATTTGAGCAAGGAATATATATCTCTCATTAAGTGGGCAGAGGCAACACATACTACAGTGAGATCGGAGGCAATTCCTACCTTACTGCAAGGTAACTATCACTGCACAGCAGCTCTGCTGTAACCAAACTCAGACTTATTCCAAACACAGTCTGTTCATTGCAGTCAATCCTGAGCGACAGTTTAGAGAAAGCTGTAAAAAAGGAACAGTGAGGAAGTGATCCATATATATACTTATTTTTTTGCACAGTGTCAGAAATATGCTGTTATACTTCAACAAGCAAAGGAGTTCCAATTTTTATTTTGAATAAAATGACACTGTTGAATTTTGCATTTTTGAGGATGAAAGTGGATTGCAATGGGATCGGAGCAGTGAAACTATTCACATGAGAATATTTGAAAAAAAGACATATGCAGGGCTTTTTTGATGTAATGTTAGATCACTAGTACTAGTAGAAGCAGAAAAAAAATAAACTGATGAAAAAGAAATTAGTTAATGCTATGTATTGAACCACTTGATAGTGAGCTGCTTTAACACTGATAGCAAGTTTAGCTGTAACAAAAGGCTTCCTGTCGTTTATTAGATATTGTAAGAATGAAATGTACAGTATATAAAATTAATACCCAAACATCACTTTAACAACACATTTTCTTTGGATTAACTGCAGGGAAGCAGCTTTTTAACAAGTTACTCTGTGATCTAGTTTTTATACTTTAGCATCTAAAGTGTATAGGCTATGTGCTATCTGCAGTTTTGAATTACAAAATTAAAGCAATTGATATTTTGCTGCATCACAGTGGCATTCGTTTGGAAAGAAGGGGACAGCAGTAGTAGTACAGAAGAGAATGATTACTAGTTTCATTAAAACAGAATGTTGGCTCTTCAAGTTCACAAGCAAAGTTGTTTTTTAAATGCCAAACCTTACATTTGTACAACTGCAATAACAAATGCCCTTGATATAGCAAGTTATATTCTGCGACACTGGTGAAAAATGTTTTTGGCTGATCTGTTTCTGTTGTAGATAGATACATAATTCTGACTTTCTTTTTTTCCTAATGACATTTCCCATGTCTTTAAAATTAGTGTTAAACAGAGTTCATTCTCCTACAGAAACAGGTTAAATGCAGTGCATTTTATACAATCAACTTTTTCATGTAGGGCATTTCTATATAAAAGAATGTAAAATGGTTTTCATTGGTTAAATCTCTGTAGTTTCAGTTTATGTCGTATTGTAAAAAAGATAAATTTACTACTACGAATTAATCTAAATAGATTACATATTGGCCATGATGCTTTTCACTACAATGTAAAATACGCTAGAAAAATTGAAATTATTACCAGGGAAAATTCCATACAGTTACCAGCAATGTTTCCCCAGTCAAAAGATCTGTAATGTAACTTCTCACAGACACTCTACTTTACACTGTGAATACAATTTAAAGTGAAAAATCTCCTCACATTTTTTTCTCAAAAGGCACTGAATGTATGTACAGTATTGCAAAAAACTCCAAATATCAGACTGGATAAGTCTGTGGATCAGTGATTTAAAATAGGAACGGGTGTCTGACGCAGTGGGGGTCGACCTTCCAGAATAAAATAGGAGGTTTTCTTCCTCTTGAGGTGCCTCTAAAGTAATCACTTCATCTTTTAAGTTGGCACATATCACAAGATCTCTTAAAATGATCCCTGTGAAATGAACACGAAGACAACTCACAAAACAAATGATGCAAAGGCATTCTGTGAAAATTTAGAAAAGTCCAAAAAAAGTAGTTGTTCCTTCACCATTTAACATGACGCGGATTACATATTTTACTTTTCAGGGATAAAGTATTCAAAATATCTTATGCTGGTGAATAGCTGGGCCTGCTGTTTTTTTCCCCTCCTTTTGTGTTGTTTAAGACCACTGGCAAGAACAGTCTGTTGGTTCTTGGATGGAGTAGGTGACCCAGGTGGAATTGCTCGTGCAGAACAGCTGCACAGTTCTCCTCTGCAGCCCGAGCTCCCGGCAGCATTTGCAGAATCGCGCGTACGTGTTGATGTTGTAGTTATAAATGCTGGCGGACGGACATTTTCCGTCACACGAAACAATGTTCACCTGGTAACAGACATGAAGAATAATGAGCAAGTGCAGTCAGTTCTAAAATAAAGCGAGGAGCTCTCAAGGAGGCCCAGAGAAATGGGGCTCCCAAATCCAACTGCAACGCAATGTGGAAGTGCGAGGCATTTATCCTAGCGCCTCGTGAAATCTCACTGTGTCTGAGCAATACATTCTCAAGTATGTTGCCCAGATAGGTCTTAATTTTATCTTATTGTGATTAAAGATGATTTCCTTGTGCATTTCAGCTACAACAGAAATTTTATCCTCACTTTGTTATTATTTGAGAAGAGTTCTGAGTGTAGGGCAACATTAAAGCAACTCTATGAAACTCAGAAATCTCTGCCCCTCCGACAGAGAGAGAGAAATGCAGACAATAGTAACATGTTTTTTTCCTTGTTTTTTACTTTTCTTAATTTTTCCCCCCTCTATTAAAAGAAATTATCATTGGTGTTTACTTACTGGTGTGTTACTTCTGCAGTCATTTTTGCGGATGGTCATCCTGACAGCCACCTTTTTACAGAATTTTCCATCTTCCTTACCTGCAAAGTGGGATTGATTGAAACGTATCAGCTCAAATGTCAGACACAGAAATGCTCCTCAATGTTTTATAGAATCAAGAGCATGGAACACATCACAGCATACACAATATTTCTCTGACAAAGTGACAAAAATTACACGCTGCACTTAAGATATCTGTGTCATGCATATGATCATGCATATGAAATGATTCTAACAAGTTTATTCTTCATTCAGAACTGTTTTACGAATAAATTCACTCTATCCTTGAGAAAATTATATGAAAATAGTCAACCACTCCATGGAGAAGGCTTGTTAGTAATGCATTAAATGCATTTTCTATGAAGCTGCTGTAACAACCATTAGCAGCAACAATTGCATTCCACTGGATTAAGTAAAATTTTACCAAACGCTTTAACAACATGAAGGCTCAGGACGACCTTGCATTTTTGTATGTGTTTAATAAAGAGGAAAAAGAACACAATGAGCAGATTAAATTTTTATTTGCATTTCATCAGCATTATTTCCATACTTTTCCTCACAAAAATATGTTCAAGGTATATGGATGAAATAAAAAAATTAAAAATAAATAATAAAAAGAAATTAAAGTGGTTAAGCTTAATTCAATGGCAAAATTCTGTACATTTGAGGAAAAGAGACAAAGTGCAGTCTGGGGTTCAGTTCTTAGAGGTCAGAAGGTTCAGTATCTTCTTACGATGATCCTCTTTGTGCTGAAGAAACCACATCAGATTGAAGATCTATAAGAAAAACCAAAGTCCATTCCTTTATGATAGCTCCCACAGTTTCACAGCGGATTTTAAACAGCATGATACAGTCCCACACAACTCTGCGCTTACACAATTGCCTTTTCTTTCAGCCCCACAAAATCCAAAGATGTCCAGGAAAGGTGAACACTGTTAGCTCCAGAAAAGCAAGGACAGTGGAAAGCTCATTGGATTGACCAAGATCTACATACTGAATTGTGGCAAGGGTTTAACACTTCTTGACACCCAATGTGCAGTTCCACGCTCTAATCACTGTCAAGCCTGGCAGTGCCTCTCGTCAAAGAGAGGTTTTTTGGTTTTGTTTTGTTTTTTAATTAAAGAAAATCAGCTACTGGCCACAAAGAGCAGAGATTTCCTGAATATGAAGAGAAAAGGACAGGCATGAATCCTCTAAGGAGCAAACAAAAATCTACAATCAGAAAAAGCTAACTTCTTGTTGAATATCATTGAATTAC